CCCCCCCCCCCCCCCCCCCCAAAAAAAAAAAAAAAACGCCCCCGTCCGGTCTGGTCCGGGTCGGTCCGGTCTGTGGGGAGGGTGCCGCACGCGGCAAAGCGGACCGGACCGGACGAGTGTCCGGTCCTTCTGCTTGCAAGTATGACTCTTCACCCTTTTGTGGGCGAGTGATCACAATTATGCAACTTATGATTGGATCTGTAAGATATAATTATCTTGTCTTTTCAAGAAGATCTCTTTCAATATCTATGTTACAATTGCTCCAAAGAAGTCTGATGAATGTGAAGGAACATCAGCAACAACATCGTCCTTACCTTTGATAGTCTCCAATTCAAATTGGGAAGTATCCAACCAGCTCATCAGATGGTGTAGGATGAGTTCTCAGGCAATACGAGGTTTCATGATCGGTATAAACTTTGAAGTGTCTGCCCAATAAGTAATGCCTTCATGTCTATAAGGCATTGTACTACAAGTAGTTTTCTCTCTCCTTCGTTGATGATGCCACTTTTCATGAGGGTGGCCATTTAGACATGAATTCTATGGGCCTATAGGCCCTTTACCCCTTGCCATCACCTTGTCGCAACCCGCCTCCAAACCCATGTTGACTGTCATCAATTGTAACCACAACGGAAGGCATGGGTTTGCAATCTCTAGGACTCCGTAGTGATTCGATGCATGCTGAAGTTTCCTAAATGCACGAAGCAATGTCTTCTCTGTATTTACGTTGATTAGAACCTAAGTCCAATATGGACCTAACACACCTGAAGTGCACTAGAGACTCAATCTTACGGTGGAACCGGCGAACCATCGGAATCTCTTTTCGAGTGTGGCAGAAACAAGGATTGAATCGTAAATAAAACCAATTTCTAATCCTTGCACTCGCCCGGTAAGTTGGCACTACGAGAAGGCAAATGCCTCCAAATGTGACCAACCCAGTGCAATCAGCCTTTCTCCAAATGGCAATGACCATCCCTCATGCAACATGACAGCACATGTCCTGGGGCAGTTTCTTTCTCTACTATGCCATGTCAAAAATACCTTCAAGCTGTCCTGGCCACATCAGCCTCCAGCCGCATTTCCCAACAACTTGCCAACACACAACTGGCAGTTCTACTGTCACCGCCTTCTCCCTCCAAATACCTCTTGCCATGTCACCAGTCCAACATCATTAAAGAACGTAAACGAGTTGCTCTGATGTCAAATTGCAATGGACCCCGACCTCAGCACTCAGCTCTAAAGACATCGCACACATGAACTCTGATACACAGAACTCAGAGGACAAGATGATGGTGGTGGAGGACACAAGAAGATGCTGGAGAAGAGAGGGATAATAATTTCATTAATAATCAACAAGTTACAGGCGCGCCGCGGCAGGCGGGGCGCTGGCATGAGAGAGAGAGAGAGAGAGAGAGAGAGAGAGAGAGAGAGA